TGCGAACATACAATGGAGAAAGGAAAGTCTCTTCAACAAATGGTGCTGGGAAAACTGGACAGCCACATGTAAAAGAATGAAAATAGACCATTCTCTTATGCCATTCACAAAAATAAACTCAAAATGGACCAAGGACTTAAAGGTAACACTTGAAACTATAAGACATCTAGAAGAAAATACAGGCAGTACACTCTTTCTTCCTTTTTTTTTTTTGAGGAAGACTGGCCCTGAGCTAACATCCGTGCCCACCTTCCTCTACTTTATACGTGGGATGCCTACCACAGCATGGCATGCCAATAAGTGCCATGTCTGCACCCGGGAACCCAACCAGAGAACCTCGGGCTGCCAAAGCGGAACGTGAGCATTTAACCACCGTGCGCCACTGGGGTGGCCCCGGCAATACACTCTTTGACATCAGTCTTAAAAGGATCTTTTCAGACACCATGTCTCCTTGGACAAGGGAAACAACAGAAAATAAACAAGTGGGACTTCATCAAACTAAAGAGCTTCTAAAAGGCAAGGGAAAACAGGATTGAAACGAAAAGACAATCTACCAGTTGGGAAAAAATATTTGCAAATCATATATCCGACAAAGGGTTAATCTCCATAATATACAAAGAACTCACAGAACTCAACAACAAAAAGCCAAAGAACCTGATCAAAAAAAATAGGCAGGGGATATGAACAGAAATTTCTCCAAAGAAGATATACGGATGGCCAATAGGCACATGAAAAGATGCTCATCATCACTGATCATCAGGGAAATGCAAATCAAAACTAGACTTAGCGGGGGCTGGCCCCGTGGCCGAGTGGTTAAGATCGTGTGCTCTGCTTCGGCAGCCCAGGTTTGAATCCTGGTTCGAATCCTAGGCATGGACCTAGCACTGCCCATCAAGCCATGCTGAGACAGCGTCCCACATGCCACAACTAGAAGGACCCACAACTAAAATATACAATTATGTACTGGGGGGCTTTGGGGAGAAGGAGGAAAAATAAACAAATAAACAAAATCTTTAAAAAAAAAAACTACACTTAGATATCACCTTACACCTGTTAGAATGGCTGTAATAACCAAGACGAAAAATAACAAATGTTGGAGAGGTTGTGGAGAAAAAGGAACCCTGATACACTGCTGGTGGGAATGCAAACTGGTGAAGCCACTATGGAAAACAGTATGGAGATTTCTCAAAAAATTAAAAATAGGGGCCTGCCCGGTGGTGCAGTGGTTAAGTGCATACATTCCGCTTTGGCGGCCTGGGGTCCGCTGATTCAGATCCCAGGTGTGGACATGGCACTGCTCATAAAGCCATGCTGTGACAGGCATCCCACACAGAAAGTAGAGGAAGATAAGCACGGATGTTAGCTCAGGGCTAGTCTCCCTCAGCAAAGAGGATTGGCAGATGTTAGCTCAGGGCTGATCTTCCTCAAAAAAAAAAAATTAAAAATAGAAATACCGTATGACCCAGCCATCCCGCTACTGGGTACTTATCCAAAGAACTTGAAATCAGCAGTTCAAAGAGACTTATGTACCACTATGTTCACTGCAGCATTATTCACAATAGCCAAGACGTGGAAGCAACCTAAGTGCCCACTGACTGATGACTGGATAAAGAAGATATGGTGTGTATATATATATACAATGGAATACTACTCAGGCATAAAAAATGATAAAATCATCTCATTCACAACAACATGGATGGACCTTGAGGATATTATGTTAAGTGAAATAAGCCAGATAGAGAAAGACAAACACTATGATTCCACTCACACATGGAAGATAAAAAAAAACACATGGACAAAGAGAACAGATTAGTGGTTACCATGGGGAAGGGGGGTGGGGGGTGGGCACAAAGGGTGAAGGGGAGTACCTATAAGATGACTGACAAGTAATAATGTACAACTGTAATGTCACAATGTTGTAAACTATCATAACCTCAACAAGAAAAACTAAAAAAAAAAAGAAAAGAAGCAACAGATTACATGAAAGAAAACACAAATGACCAATTAATATATGAAAAAGTACTCATGCTCATTAGTCATCAGGGAGATGCAAATTAAAATCACAATGCTATATTAAAACCAATGCAAATTAAAACCACTAGAATGGCCAAAATAAAAACACTGATAATATTAAAAGTTTATGAAGAAGTGGAGCAACAGGAACTGTCATACTCTGCTAATGGGACTGTAAATTGGCTCAACCACTTTCACTACCATTCAAGCTGACCACACACACATCCTAGTTATGACCATATAATGTAACACTTAGAGCAACCACTAAAAAACCTACACAAAGAGATATACTAAAAAACACTATAGATAAATCAAAATGGAATTTTTTAAATGGTTATGTAACCCACAGGAAGTAGGAAAAAGAAAAGAGAAATGAAAAACAGAACAAAGAGAAAACTACAAATAAAATGGCAGCCATAAGGCCCTAATACAGTCATGCACCACATAACAATGTTTTGGTCAATGAGGTATTGCATATATGACGGTGGTCCCATAAGATTAGTACCATACAGCCTAGGTGTGTAGTAGGCTGGCTATATCATCTAGGTTTGTGTAAGTGTGCTCTATGATGTTCACACAATGACAAAATTGCCTAATGCACTTCTCAGAACGTATCCCCATCATTAAGTGACTCATTACTGTATATCAATAATTACAATTAAATGTAAATAGCCTAAACATGCCAATTAAAGACAAATGGACAGAGTAGATAAAAACACAGGACTTAACTACATGTTGTCTCCAAGAAATTTACTTCAAATACAAGAATCCACACAAAAGACTGTACACAATGTTCACAGCAGCTTGATTTTTAATAGCTAAAAAGTGTAAGCAACTAAAACGTCCTTCAGTAGGTGAATGGTTAAACAAATTGTGGTACACCATACTATGAAATACTACTCAGTAATAAAAAGGAATTGTGATTATGCTTGTAAAAAGAATCCTTACCCTATAGAAACAGAAACTGAAATATTTATGTATAAAATTATTTGGTATCTGAGATTTGCTTCAAAATAATCTGGGATGGGGGTTGGAAATAGGGGATGTAGCAAAAATAAGATTGGTCATGAATGGATAATTGCTGAAGCTGCGTGACTAAGATATGGGAGTTCATAAAGTATTTTCTCTAATTTACAAATTTGAAATAATCTTTAATGAAGAGTTAGGTCCTTTCCCTGACAGCCCACCTTTCATGGAAACATGGAAGAAATACTCACTACAGTCCTATCACAGCCGAATATGGAAACAAGCCCACTCCCAGGCTGCTGATACAGAACTCTGGAGTAGCAATACCATGGACACCACGTCTGCTAGAAAGAACATGGTACTTTTATAGGAAAAGATGTACAAGATCTATTTCTAAATTTAAAAAGTAACTTTCAGTATTTGGAGTATGATGCCATTATGTGAAAATAAATAATAAGTATATATTAGTACATCTATTGAAAAAAAAACTTAAGAGAAACATGCACTGAATAATCAACAGTAGTTACCTCTAGAGTATTATAGGACAGTTTCGTGTATTTCTGTCTTGTTTGAACTTTTTCATATTTTTTAAGAGAGCAGTTCACCTAATTTTGATGCAATAGGCAAGGGAAGAAGAGGGAAATACTACATGAAACAGTAAAATTCAGAAAATATCTGAAAGTAACAGAAGAGTATAGTCAGGCTACAGGAAATTAGGAGGTACACACATCCAGTCACTAGGCTGCGAGGGCCAGACAGGAAAGGTTTCTATAACTTCTACCACTACTCAATAGCCACGATGACAGCCCCCACCACCAGTACCACCCCCTACCCCAGCACAACTGTTACTACTGTGATTACAACTCATACTACTATCCTAGTACCACTACCACTGTCAACACCAGGAGCACCTCTCTCTGTACCATCACCACCACCCCACTACTGCCACTATTCTTCATTCATACTCTGCCTGGTTCAAAAGAAATATCTGAGGTGAGGCAGTCCTCTGAGGTCCCTTGCAAATCTAAGATTTATGATCCCATGAAAGACGACACTGCACTGAACATTTACAACACAGCAAGAGAATTTCTTCAAGTGAACAATGATCTGCCCTGGGGTTGCACCTTCGCAGAGCTCCAGACATATACATAAAATATTGGTTTGTTTCCTGACTGGGTATTTGATGATATTAAACAATTATGGTTAATATTTTGGGGTGTGATAATGTGATTTGCTCAGCAAAGTCTTGTCCCCTCCTGTAGTTATATTTAAAAGGCGAAAAAGTTCTTATATTTTAGAGCTATATGCTGAAATATTTACAGAAGAAATGATGTATCTGGGATTTGTTTTGAAATAATCCACTGGGGATGGTAGGCAGGGGATAAAAGATGAAAGAAGACTGAGCAAGACTGGCTGCTGAAGCTGGTGATGGGTACCATCAATACACCTCACACCCTACTTCTGTGTGTGTCTAGTGCGGATTGCAGTGAGTCACATGTCAGGTTGAATGTAAGGCAGGAGCAAGTACGGACTCCAGGAACACCATGCTCCAATGGAATGAAACAAATTGACTCACTACTTTAGAGAAGCCTAATGCCAGAAGTTTTCTTTTATTTGCTTTTAAACATTAAGTGCCCTAGACACACAGACACCTGCCACACAAATGGTGGTGGATGTCCTAAGATCCTGCCATGATTTAGGCACGTTCCTAGACCTCACGCCTGTGACTCGTTGGTGACAGGACAAGCTGGCCTAGTTTGGGGCCCTGTGCAGCTCCCAGGGATGGCGGGAAGTGCTGCTTATTCCAGAGTCGGCCAGCAGAAATATCTCTTGGGAAGCCACTTTCTTAATCAAATTCCAATTCACGTATCAGCAGCCCATGCTGCTCCACATGTGTCCCACAGAACAGTCAGAAACATTGTTCCCCACAGGCTGACAATGTGGGTCACCCAGCAGTGGCTGACAGCAAGGTATGTCAGCATCAGCCATCCCAAACCACATGGGTTCGGCAGATAATTTACCTGTTCAGTTTTTCGTGCAATGAGATTGCCAATGGTCTTGCTGAAAAAGCTGGCAAGCAGAGGATTGAGAGGTGGCTCATGGTCCAAGAAGTCATAAAGAAGGTTCAGCAGAGTCTCGTCCTCTCCTAGTCTGTCATTAATCTGTGGCACGTCACACGTCAGCAACTCACAAGCTGTGTTTGGATATCTAAAAGGGCACAATGCAAGCAACTGGAGGTGAAATTAGACTTCTCCAACTCTTAGGAAACTGCTTCAATAATCTGCCTCTTAGGAAGCAGATCACAGGTAAGAACAAAACATTGATAGACCTCAGAACACAACAAAAATGCAGTTATTCTGTGACCAATAGGAATTTTTGACTATCGGAAGCTCAACATTTTTAACATACCTTTTTCAGGTTCCTCATACCTACACTCTGACATGCTACATTTTCTCATTCTATTTCCATTTTCTAAATAACCTTTCTCTGTCTTTTGGCTTCACCTCTCTCCAGGCCTCATTTCTCATACTCACCTGCCAGGTCTCTCACCTCCTCTAACCAGTTAGTGAGGCCAAGTTCTCCATCATGCTCGTCCTTCTTGCTCCTACATATCAACAAGCGCAGATCCAGCTTGTTCCCAGTCTGAAGAAATGTCACACCAGCAGCTTACAATGCAGTACCAGTTATGAGGTGTTACACAGGCGAGTTATTATTTGGAAATACTAATATATGAAAATGATGTACTATTCATTTGATAAAAATAACCAGGTAAAAATAATTCTCATCCCATTACATGCAATCCCATGATATCATTGAGCTCCCTGCCTTACCATCCGACAGACATGGGGTCACTGCCATCACCCCCGGGACAGGCATGCCTACTGAACAACCTGCTGCATCTAGGACAAAGCCTGCAACAGCAGTGCCAGTAAAAATGCCCAATGCCATACCTGAGCATATCTGGAAATGAGGGTGAGGGTGCCGGGGGCTGGAATAGTCAAGAACCAGGTGGGAGTGTCCTGTGGGGCTGACTGCCCTGGAGCCACCTGGCACTACATGAGACAAACTGTGTAGCCTCAGGAATGCTGCCTAACCTCTCTGTGGGCTTCCTCATCTGAAGGAGGAGGTGCAAGTCCCCACCCCGACAAGGCTATGTACAAAGCAGAGCAGCACCTGGCACACAGTAAGCCCTGGGTCAGGGTCAGCCACTATGATCTTCCTACTCCTGGTAGCCACCAACATGGGCCCCAGCACAGACCTAAACCAAGGTGGTCATTATGGATCAGCTAGAGGTGCCTGGATTTGAGAAACTCTATGGGTTGGTAGAGTGTGGCAGCCAACCAAGTGTGGAAGGGGTAAAAGATGGAAAGGGTCTCAGGCTGGCTATGGGCTGGGTGTTGCTCGTTAGCGCAGAGCAGAGCTCAGAGAAATAGTGTTGGGTGAGCAGGATGGGTGTGAGGGACCTGCCAGGTTCACAAGGAGCTGGCCCAGTCCAGCAAGCAGGCCCAGGCTACCAGAGCGAATCCAGACAGAGGGGTGGTCAGTGCTCAGACAGAGGTGTGGCCAGTGCCCAGACAGAGGTGTGGCCAGTGCCCAGACAGAGGGATGGCCAGTGCCCAGACAGAGGGGTGGCCAGTGCCCAGAGGAGTTGGCCAGTGCCCAGGGAGGGGTGGCCAGTGCCCAGGGAGAGGGGTAGCCAGTGCCCAGAGACAGGTGTGGTCAGTGCCCAGAGAGGGGTGTCCAGTGCCCACCTTGTGGGATTGTTAAAAAGGATCAGACGAGGCGGCCCCGTACCATGGAAGGAAAAGCCAGAGGAAGCCTGCTGGCAGTGTAGGGCAGAAGGGCCAAGTTGGCAGCACCGAAGGCCAGAGCAAGGTGCCGCATCACCCAGGCAGAGGGGTGTCCACCAGACTCCAAAAAATAAGAAAAGATTCATCAAGCTGCAGGAGAGACACAAGCCCCAGAGAAAAGCACGGACCACTCCTTCAGGAAGCTGCTGCAGAGCACAGGACTCCAATCTTGTCTCCACACACAAACGCATGCACATGTGTGGCAGCTGAGTGACAAGGCACTGACCTTGTAAGCTTATGTCTAGGTGGAGGGCTTGAGATTTTCTTTATCAGTATTTTATAATTATTCTTAAAAAAACAGGTACAGCTTTCGCAGATTATAAAATTTACACAAGGAATAGGAATTCCAGCTAAACATAGCAAATCAAACACACAAGCTTGATGCCATTCCCTCTCAAACTCCTATTCAAATAATGCCAAGAAAAAATACACAAAAAGAGAAGTAGAAATGACACAGGGCAAGGCCTAAAGACAGGAAAGGGCAGCCTGAGGACTGGCTTGGCGCACCAGGGAAGCTGAGTCTCAGGTGGTCACAGAGGGAAGCGCCAACTAGGAACACAACTTCAGAGAGGCATGGACATGGAGACGGTGGCCGGTCTGGGCAGGGTGAAGGGACTGGCTGGAAACTCACGAGAGCAGTGAGCCTTCCAGCCCCTCCCTTGATGCCCTCACACAGGACTGGGAGGTTTACTCCCTGAAAAAGTGGACCAGAGGACTCCTGACTTGGTCACGTCAAGACACAACTGAGAGAGAGATGGAACACTGTCCAGAAATAGCGGCATGGTAAAAACAACGTTGGGGTGCCCCCAGCCCCTCTTCCTGACTCAGGCTGATGCTACTGCCCACAGGTAGGAGATAGAAGGATTCTTTTCTGCAGAAACTGAGAGGACAAAGAGGAAAGTCAACTAGTCATCACCTAACCAAGCGGTCGGCCACCCATCACCCACAGTGAAGGGTAGTGGGCAAGCTCCACTCAGACCCCAAACTCTTTGCTGACTTTAGTGTCTTTCTCTTGAAAAGAACCCAAGTGCTGACCAAACCAACCACCAGCAGAAAACTAGGCACACAAAGCAAAGACAGCGTGCAGAGAACAGAAGAACCCCATCAACAAATACACCGCGACAGTGTATCCATGAGGAAGAAATGGAAGCTTGTATTTAAAATATCTGAGTATAAGAAAGACCTCTTAGAAATTAAAAACATGATGGTAGAAATTTTAAAGATCAATAAAAGGACAGGAAGGTAAACCTTGAAGAAACCTCTCAGATGTAGAGCAAAAATAAGAAGAGGGAAGTACGAATCCAGGTAGCCTAACAGCCAGTCAGGGGTCCCAGAGAGAGGTGAGAAAGTCGGACGGGAGACCATTATCAAAGAAAGAACACAGGAAGCTTCCTTGTGTGGAAGGCCACGAACTCACAGAGTCAAAGGGCCCCGGAGTGCCTCGCACATAAGTGAAACTGCGACGCCCAGTGCCTCCCTATTTGAGAGGGTGGTCGCTGTGACAGCTGAGTGCTTTGATCACTCATCCTAGCTGCTTGTTTCTTTCCCCAACCCCGAGATTTCTCCTAGTTTGTCTGCTTAGTTTTGTACTCATCTACTAATTTCTCCCAAACTCTCTGACTATACCACTCTCCTGAATTACCATGTTTCTTCCGGAATTCCCCTGTCCTGACCCAGGAAATAATTTCACACTATCGCAAAATTCCAGAACAGGGGTAGAAAAGGACCTAAATATCCCCCTAGAGGAAAGAAACCCTGCTACACAAAGGCCGAGGATGCTTACTGCATCAGACTTGCCAACAGCAAGGCCAGAAACTGGAAGACAACTATGAGTCCTCGAAATTGGAGGAGAACGATGTCCAGTCCTCTGTGTAGGAATTCTACACAGAGGGAGCAGCGGACAAACAAAAGGAGAACAGTGCATTGTCAGACAGGCCTGACCCCCAACCACTACCATCCACGTACAACTCAGTACACTATTCACCACAGGAAGGAAACCAAAGAAGAGGAAGACGAAATCCTGGAACATGGAAGGCAGACACTGGAGTTACCAGAGTAAGGATGAAGGAGATTCCCTTCCTGCTCCTGATGCTTCCCTCTGTGCCCGGACTTGCTGCTCACAGGGGGCTCTTCTGGGCAACTGGCCTTAGCCATGCTCCTTTCTGCTCTGCCCCTTAGTACAGCAGGGTTTCATCAGGGGGAGGAGGTTGTCCTTCCTGGGGTCCTGCCCTACCCAGCGCTGCTTCCCACTGGCTGAGCAGTTCTAACTGTACAATTTGGAAGCCTATCACCCACAGCTATAATGACATTCTCCCACACCAGCTTTATGAATAACAAAAGTGATATCTGCTGGCTTTTTATTTCTCAAATGTCCAGAATTCGGCAGGCAAACTGGGCAGAAACCTCAAAAAAAGGCCAGGAGCAACCTGATGGTTCTCGGGCTGAACCAGGTGGCTGGCTTCTCATCCCAGGGCTGCTCCAGAGGCCTCACCTGCCTGGGGCAGCCTCTGGCCTTAAGCAGGAACAGCAAGCTGCTGCCTGACCTCAAACCGCCCAGAGGCAGCATCTCTTGAACAGGCTTGGCTCAGGCTCCTTTTCCACTATTGGGAAAAGAGTTTCTCCATAACCCAGCCTACAGTCACAAGGGTGGAGCGACATTAGCTATGCTGCTCAGCCAAGTCTGCAGGCAGAACCTTCACCTCAGAGGCTCCAGGCTGTGGAGGAGACACTGCTGACCTTGTCAGGCTGGCCGAGGTCACAGCCGACTAGAGTGCTGAGCAGCACAGGTACTGCTTCCTGTAAGCAAGCTTATTGAAGCACAGCCACACTCACTCATGTACCGTCTGGGGCGGCTTTCACAATACAATGTCAGAGCTGAGTGGCTGCATCAGAGACCTAAACAAGCCTAAATATTTCCTATCTTAGCTTTCATAGATAAAGTCTGCCGACTCCTGTCTACATACCTATTTGTATCTCCGCATCTCTGAAAAATAATCTTGACCCTATTTCTTCCCTTAGCTATCACCTCATCCACCCATCCATTTCATTCCTTTTCTCAAAAAGGAAATTGTGATTTAATTTCATTTAAAGTCAAATCAATTTTAGATTAATTTTTAAGTTTTTATTGCTACGTACAAAGGCTTTAACAGCTCAGACAGCTCAAAAGGGCTCCCGAACAGGGGCAGACTTCCCTCTCTTTCCTCACTCCCAAGCCTCACTCCTCAGTCACCAGTCTTTCAGCAGTTTCCTCCACTGTCAGCCTCCATGTTTCTAAATAAAATACACTTCCGCTTCTTCTTTATTTCCAATTTTAGACAATATAAATAATCTTCCTATGATGTAAGATGAAGACTCACATCTCATCTCTATAAATTACACCACAAGTGTTAAACTCATGCCCAGTGTTTCCCTTAGTATGAACATGTAAATAAATACAGACATACCTCGTTTTACCGTGCTTCACTTTATTGTGCTTTGCACTATTGCATTTTTCACAAATTGAAGGTTTGTGGCAACCTTGCATCAAGCAAGTCTATCGGTGCCATTTTCCCAGTAGCATTTTCTCACTTCACATCTCTGTGTCACATTTTGGTAATTCTCACAATATTTCAAACTTTTCACTGTGATTATATTTGTTATGGTGATCTGTAATCAGTGATCCTTGATGTTTTTATTGTAGTTGTTTGGGGGTGCCATGAACCACATCCATAAAAGAAAGCGAACTTAATAAATGTGTGTGTTCTGACTGTCCCACAGACTGGCCGTTCTCCGTCTCTCTCCCTCTATACTCAGGCCTCCCTATTCCCTGAGACACAGCAATTTTGAAATTAGGCCAATTAATAAACCTACAATGGCCTCTAAGTGCTCAAGTGAAAGGAAGAGTCACAAGTCTCTCACTTTAAATCAAAAGCTAGAAATGATCTAGCTTCATGAGGAGTGTATGTTGAAAGCCAAGATAGGCCAAAAGCTAGGACTTTTGCTCTAAACAATTACCCAAGTTATGAATGCAAAGGAAAGTTCTTGAAGGACCTTAAAAGTGCTACTCAAGTGAACACACAAAATAAGAAAGGGAAACAGTGTTATTGCTGATAGGGAGAAAGGTTTAGTGGTCTGGATAGAAGATTAAACCACCACAACATTCCCTTAAGCCAAAGCCTAACCCAGAGCAAGCCCCTAACTATCAATTCCGTGAAGGCTGAAAGAGGTGAGGAAGTGCAGAAGAAAAGCATGGAGCTAGTAGAGGCTGGTTCATGAGGTTTAAGGAAAGAAGTCATCTCCATAACATAAAAGTGCAAGGTGAAGCAGCCAGTGCTCATACACAAACTGCAGTAAGTTATCCAGAAGATCTAGCTAAGATAATTAATGAAGGTGGCTACAATAAACAGCAGATTTTCAATACAGACAGAACAGTCTTTATTGGAAGAAGATGCCATCTAGGACTTTCATAGCCAGAGAGAAGTCAAAACCTGGCTTCAAAGGACAGCATGATGCTCTTATTAGGGGCTAATGCAGCTGGTGACTTTGAGTTGAAGCCAGTGCTCATTTACCATTCCGAAAACCCTAGGGCCCTTAATAATTATGCTAAATCTACTCTGCCTGTGCTCTATAAATGGAACAACAAAGCCTGGATGACAGCATATCTGTTTACAACATGGTTTACTGAATTTTTAAGCCTACTGTTGAGACCTACTGCTCAGAAAGAAAAATTCCTTTCAAAATATTACCCCTCATTGAAAATGGCACCTGGTCACCCAAGAGCTGTGATGGAGATGTATGAGATTAATGTTGTTTTCATGCCTGCTAACACAATGCCCATTCTGCAGCCCACGGGTCAAGGAGTAATTTCGACTTTGAAGTCTTATTATTTAAGAAATATATTTTGTAAAGCTACAGCTGCCATAGATAATGATTCCTCTGCTGGATTTGGGTAAAGTCAATTGAAAACCTTCTGGAAGGGATTCCCCATTCTAGTAGATGCCATTAAGAACACTCGTGATTCATGGGAAGAGGTCAAAACATCAACAATAGCAAGAGTTTGGAAGAAGTTGATTCCAAGCCTCATGGATGATTTTGAGGGGTTTAAGACTTCAGTGGAGAAGTAACTGCAGATGTGGCAGAAGCAGTAAGAGAACTAGAATCAGAAGTGGAGCCTGAAGATGTGACTCAATTGCTGCAATCTCATGAGAGAACTTTAAAGGATGGGGAGTTGCTTCTTATGGATGAGCAAAGAAAATGGTTTCTTGAGATGGAATCTACTCCTGGGTGAAGATGCTGTGAAGACTGTTGAAATGACAACAAAGGACTTAGAATATGACACAAAATTAGTTGATAAAGCAGCAGCGGGGTTTGAGGGGACAGACTTCAATTTTGAAAGAAGTTCTACTGTGGGTAAAATGCTATCAAACAGCATTGCACGCTACAGAGAAATTGTTTGGGAAAGGAAGAATCAATCGAGGCAGGAAACTTCATTGCTGTCTTATTTTAAGAAATTGCCACAGCCACTCCAACCTTTAGCAACCACCACTCTGATCAGTCAACAGCCATCCAGACTGAGACAAGAGCTTCTACCTGCAAAAAAGATTACGACCCACTGAAGGCTCAGATGATGGTTGGCATTTTTTAGCAATAAAGTATTTTTCACTTAAGGTATGTACATTGTTTTTTTAGACATAACGTTATTGCACACTTAATAGACCAAAATATAGTATAAATACAACTTTTATATGCACTGTGAAACCAAAAAATTCATGTGACTCGCTTTATTGCAATCTTCGCTTTACTATGGTGGTCTGGAACCAACCCACAGCACCTCCAAGGTCATCCAGTACTGTCAACGGCTGAGCTGCCTTCTTCACTCTAGCTCCATCTGCTTACTCAAGTAAGTCCCCACACCCAGAGTTCATGGTTTTCTCATTGCTTTGCTTAGCCTGGTACTTATCTCCTAATGTCTCCCAAACTCTCTGACTATAAAACTCTCCTCAGGCTGGCCCAGTGGTGCAGTGGTTAAGTTTGTGGGCTCCACTTCAGTGGCCTGGGGTTCATGGGTTCAGATCTCAGGCGCAAACCTACGCACTGCTCATCAAGCCATGCTGTGGCAGCGTCCTACATACAAAATAGAGGAACACTGGCAGAGATGTTAGCTCAGGGCCAATCTTCCTCACCAACAAAAAAAAAAAGCCCTCTCCTGCCTCATCAATGCCACCCTGGGATCCCTCTGCCCCCGCCCCAGGTCTCTTCCCCCATAGTACTTGTCACCAATGTCTCCAGACAGGGAGACCACATACCCTGTCACCAAACAGGACACACTTGGGAGTGAGAGAGGGAAAGGGACGGGGCCATTAAAGGTGACGCTGAAACAGCAGGTATTGACCTGGACCATGTGACCTTTCACGGATGGTCTCCATGGCCCTATATCCCTGGCTCTTCCACAAACAAGGCCCCTGCCACTGTCTAGGGTTCCCCCTAAGTGTCAGCAGACTCCCCTGGTCAGAGAGGGCCTGACTGACTGAAGTGCCCTGGCCACAGGCACTTTCCATCACTCTATCTGGCTTTATTTTCTTTTTAAGACAAAGGTCAGGGGCCCGGTGGTGCAGCAGTTAAGTTCGCACATTCCGCTTCTCAGCGTCTCAGGGTTCGCCGCTTTGGATCCCAGGTGTGGACATGGCACCGCTTGGCACGCCATGCTGTGGTAGGCATCCCACACATAAAGTAGAGGAAGATGGCTATGGATGTTAGTTCAGGGCCAGGCTTCCTCAGCAAAAAAGAGGAGGACTGGCAGTTGTTAGCTCAGGGCTAATCTTCCTCAAAAAAAAAAAAAAAGACAAAGGTCAGCAAAAAGTTTCTATAAAGGGCCAGAAAGTAAATATTCGAGATGGTCTATGTTGCAACTACTCAACTCTGCCCTTGTAATCACAAATGGTGGCTGTGTTCCAATGAGATTTTATTCATGGACAATGAAATGTGAATTTGACCTCATTTTCACATGTAACAAAATACTATTCTTTAGAATTTTTTCAACCATTTAAAAATGTAAACCCATTCTTAGCTTGCAGCCATAGTTTGCTGACTCTGTTCTAAGACTCGACCACCACACAAGGTCTGGCTCACTGTGGGCTGCTATCTGTCCTGACTCTCGCTGTGTCACAGGCCCCCAGCTCTCTCTTCCCAGAGTCTGCTCCGGCCCCAGAGCAGCACCCTCAGAGCCAGAGGCTGGGTCCGCTCTGTCCTCCCGTCACCCAAGGTCCTCTGATCACTCACACCCCTCTGTCTCCACCCCAACCCCCTGCCACACCACTCCTTCCCTTCTGTTATTTCCTAACATCCTAGCCAACTGCTGAATGGAACATTTTAGAAAAACTTTGAGAATGGTCAGTACCATTAATGACACAACATATTTCCTCCAAGCCCAAGATCCCAGAGTGAAGTACTTCCACAGTCAAGCTGTCAAATGCCTCCCATCTCTCCCGACCGGCCATTGCACCAGGCTGGGAGCTGCCTCCTCCTGCTGGTATAGTCCCATTCAGTCAGGCCTCACACTGAAATTACATCTGCCTCTCTGTCATGGGATCAGTCTTCTCTTTCAGCATATTTTCACTCAAAACACTGACACACAGTATAACCTACTAAAACTCAGAATGAGAAATCACATACAGAAGAGATTTCAAAATCTTAAACATCAAAAAAACAAACCCCACAGGAGTGGCCTCCTCACTTCTCAAGTGGGGTAAACGTCTAAGGTCGGCTTCTCCATCAGAAAACCCTGGTTCTGGCCATCTTCAAACACTGCCCGCTGCCTCCCTGCAGCACCGCCCAGTGCTGGGCCCCGGTCACAGCCTCAGTACATACTTGAAGCGGACCTTCTCTTCCATGTCCAGGGGTGGGTCCTGTGTGATGAGGCTCACCAGCTCCTCCATACACTGCTGCCTGCAGAGGAAGTCCAGCAGCTTCCGGTTCTGAGCCTTGCACTCCTGCAAGATGTCATCTTCGTCCATTAACTCACGCAGTGTCACATCCTCCTTATCCAGCAGCTTGTCGACATGGGACGTGGTGTTCAAATCAAACTTCCAGAACATGATGACAGCCACAGAGCTACAAGCAAAGAGGAGGGTCAATTATCCCCACCAGTACAAATCCACTCTCAGCAACTCCACACCAAAGTCCAAGAACTCTATTCCCAACATTGGCCTGGGCTGGAAAGGGCAGTCTCCCCAGCAACTGCTCGGACCAGATCTCCCTGGGTCAGGCTCCAAAGTCAGTGGGGACTTCTCGGCTCTCCTGCATCTCAGAACCTGCTGCCTTCTCTCGATTCCACCCTAGCTGACCCACCTTCCTTGCTCTCCTTTCCCACCCCCAGTGCTCAATGTGCCACTGGTGCTCTCATTCACTCCTTTGCTCCTTTAGACCAACACAAAACCATGTTTCTCGTGTGTGTCATGGCCACACCTGACTGACCATCAAATAAAAGAACACAAAATATCTCACAGAACACAACCTCAGCAAGTCAAACTCATGACAGCTCATTTTGCTTGGCCCTCCCTTCCTCTGTCACTCCCTACCCACCTGGCCTCTCCTTTCACTGTCTCCATCTTGCTGAATAACTCAGGGTTATCCCTGAAGCCGCCACCTCCCTCACATGTACCCTGAGCTCTAGGTCTTGCCACAGCTACCTGAGAAATTGTTACTGACCCAGCCCATCCTCTGCATCCCACATCACCCGCTTCAGGCTCTTGCTTTCTTTGCCTGGACCATACAAGGTTTGTTTGTCCCACTCAAGTGGGACAGCTGAGTCTCATACGTCAGTCTTTGGGCCTAGGCTGGTTTGCACCACAGCTTTCAGTGTTCGATGCAAAATGAAAACCATAAAGCTCGTATCTTTAACAAAGTTAAACCTGCATTTTGAGCTTATGAATCTTTTCAATGTCACATGAATCATTCCTTGAAAACTATGGTAATAGTAGACGGGACTTATCTTACCTGATACTTTTATTTAAAAGAGTAAAAGACTGTCCATATGATGCAAAACCTCGGATTTGTCTGTGTGTAAAGCCCAGCTGCCCTAGGAGCCCCTGACACAGGCTCCTCAGCTGTCCAGGCACCATCCCCTTCACGTCAAACTCACTTTTCCAAAACAGAGACACCTTCACATTCCTCCCACCTGGCTTCATAGGCTCCACTGGCCCCAGACGCCCACCACTCAGCAGGCTGCTTTCTACAATGTGCCTCCCGTCTTCTGGGCACTCCTACCGTCTCCCTGACTCTACCCTCGAAACAAGGATGCCGCATCTTTCTTTCAACGCAAACTGCACTTTCCTACCTTTAACATTCTGCACATGCTCTTGTGCTCAGACAGTCCTTCCTCATAAAATCCCACCCACCCCGCCAGACTGAGCTAAGGGCAGGGCCGGGACTGCCCTGGGCCTGCTCCAGCACACGCTGCAAGGCACTCAAAGGTTGAGCTGCTTTGACTTGCACTGCAAGGGACTCCATGGACGGACCCCGCACTCAGGTTCCTTCTGGGTACTAAGATCTCTCTTACTTCTCTTGTGAGGCGTGTGGATGGACATTTGTGGATGGTTGCAACAGACTTTGGGGAACAGAAATAATAATTCCTAGAAGTGCTTTCAGGAAAAGATGGCTGTCTCCACATATACATCAGATGCCCCTCTTTCCTATATGCCCTAGAGAATGACTCAAACGCTTAGATAACATACAATCCAGAGAAAGACGGGAACCAGAGTGAGATCCCACCTTGCCAAGGCATTTTTCCAAACAAGAACTTACAAGACAGGGCAGCTAGAGGAGGCGTCTGTGAATACTGCTTTTAGCCATAGAGTGGGTGAGTGGCTGGATGGACCACAAGTTCCCATAAACCAAATGGGACAAGTTTTTCTAGCAGGATCCTAAAAAAGGACTGGATTAATCCAAAAGAAGATAAAAAGAAAGGAGAGAGAGAGAAAATAAGAAACAAAAACAGACGGGACAAATGGGAAAAAATAGTAAGATAACAGACATAAACTCAACCATATCAGTAAGCGCATTAAATGCAAATACATTAATAACTTCAATTAAAGACAGAAATGGTCAGACTAGATAAAAAAGTAGCAACTCACTATATGCTGAGTATAAAAAGCTTACTTTAAATATCAAGACACAGGTTAAAAGTAAAAAAAAAAAAAAGTTAAAAGAATGGAAAAGGATACACCATGCAAGCACGGATCATGAGGCAGCTGAAACGGCTACACGAATGCTGGTATAGGTTTCTTTCCTCGCAATGCTTAAGTCTGCCCTGGGCATCAGGGTAAATGTGCCTCACAACACATGTTGGGAAATATTCCCTCTTCCTCCATTTTCTGAGTTTACATAGAATTGGTACTACTTCCTCTTAAAATGTTTGACAGAGCTCACCAGTGAAGCCAAGGGTCTAAAGTTGTCTTTGGTGATGTTTCAAATTATGAACTCCATTTCTTCAATAAGTATATTCTATTTCTACTTGTTTCCATTTCGGTAATTTGCTTGCTGAAAAAATTTGACCACTTTACCTGAATTGATGAAATTATTGGCATGAAGTTGTTCATTATAGTACCTTGTTAATTTGTTAATCTTCTAATGTAAAGTAGGATCCGCAGGCCCCTCTTTCATTCCTATACCTTAGTGATACCTGTCCTTTTCTCTCTCTTGTTGTTCATCAGTGCTACTAAAGGTTCATTAATTTTATTGATCTTCTTGAGGAACCAGATTTTGGTTTTATTATTTTTTTTCTCTAGTATTTGTCCATTTTCTATTTCATTTATTTCTTCTTCTGGCTTCATAATTTCCTTCCTACTGCATACTTTGGGTTTCATTTGCTCTTCTTTTTATAGCTTCTTAAAGTAGAAGCTTAATCATTCCTTTTTTAGACCTTTCTTCTTTTCTGTTATAAGCATTAAAAGCTACAAATTTTCCTTCAAGCACTGTTTTAGCTGTATACCACAGATTTTGATGTTTCCATTTTCACTGAATTCAAGATATTTCTAATCTCCCCTGTGAGTTTTTTCCTTTGATTTATAGGTTATTTAGAAGTATAATGCTTAATTTTCCAATTAATTTGGGGTTTTCTAAATATCTCTGTTACTGATATCTACTTTTTGTTGTGGTCAGAGAGCAGGATTGTATGGTTTCATTCTTTTTAAATTTATTGATTTTTTTTTTACAGCCTAGCACAGGAGTCAAGAAACTTTTTCTTGTAAAGAGTTAAACAGTATTATTTTCAGCTTTGTAGGCCACATAGGGTCTGTGTTGCATGTTCTTTTTCTTCTTCTTTTTCTTCTTAAAAAGCCTTTAAAAACACAAAAACCATTCTTAGTCTGCAAATTGTACAAAACCAAGCAGTGGGCTGGATTTGCCCAGCAGGTTGTAGGTTGCTGATGGCTGTGCATTTGTTATGGTCTGTCTTGGTGAATGTGGCATGTGCACTAGAAAATAGTTTTTATCCTGCTGCTATTGGGTGGGTTAAAGTCAAGTTGGTTGGGGCCGCTGCATGGTGGAGTGGTTAGATTCACGCGCTCCACTTTGGCGGCCCAGGGTTTCGCCGGTTTGAATCCTGGGCACAGACATGGCATCACTCATCAAGCCATGCTGAGGCGGCATCCCACATGCCACAACTAGAAGGACACACAACTAAAAATACACAACTATGTACTGGGGGGCTTTGGGGAGAAAAAGAAAAAAAATTTAAAAGTCTTTAAAAAAAAAGTCAAGTTGGTCGATAATGTTATTCAAGTTTTCTATGTCCTCACTAATTTTGTGTCTATTTGTTCTATCAATTAATGAGAGGGAGGGTTTCAATCTTCAACTATAATTGTGGATTTATTTATTTCTCCTTTTGATTCTGTCAACTTTTCCTTCATGTGTTTTCAATTTATTTTATTATATGGATACATATTTAGGATTGTTATGCCGTCTTGATGAATTGCCTCTTTGATCATTCTGAAATGTCCCTCATAATCTCTGGCAATATATCTTGTCTTGAAGTCTGCTTTATAATATATCAACAATTATGATCTTAATATAACATACCATTATGCTAATATAGCATAGCATTCTTGTGGTTCATGTTTGGTATATCCTTTAACATCCTTTTACTGTCAACCTATTTGTGTCTTTATATTTAAAGTGTTTCTTTTGTAAATAGCACATGACCAATTGGGTCTTGCTTTACTATTCCATCTGTTATTCTCTGCCTTTTAACTGAAGTATTTAGACCATTTACATTTAACGTAATTATCAATATGGTTGAGTTTGAGTAATTTGAAAAAAAACACAACACCCTTTCATGATAAAAACACTCAATAAATGAGGACTAGAAGGGAACTTCCTGAATCTGATAAAAGGTATCAACTAAAAAACCTACAGCTATCAGCATACTAATGGTGAAAAGACTGCTTTTCTCCTGAGATTGAAACATGAGATTCTAATCACTTCTATTCCAGATTGTAATGAAAGTCCTAGGTAGCACCATAAGACAATTAAGAGAAAGAAACACATACAGAGTGAAAAGGAATAAATAAAATCGTTTTTACTCACAGATGACATGATTGTATACACAGACATGCCTAAGAAATCTATAAGGAAAAGAGCTACTAGAATTAATAAGAGTGAATTTAGCAAGCTTACCAGTTACAAAGTCAATGTCCAAAAAGTAATTGTATTTCTACACACGACCAATGAACTGGAAATGGAATTTTTAAAAATTCTACTTACAATAACATCCAAAAACATCAAACACTTCAGGATAATTTAATAAAATATGTGCAAGACCTGTACACTGAAAACTACAAAACACTGCTGAGAGAAATGAAAGAATATTTAAATAAACGGAGAGATATTACTATGGTCATGCATTAGAAAATTCAATATGGTTAAGACATCGATTTTCCTTAAACTGGACTATTAATTCAATACAATCCCAATCAAATCCTATCAGATTTTTAAAAACAGAAATTGCCAAGCTGATACTAAAATGTATGCAGAAAAGAAAAAAAAAAAAAAAAAAAACTAGAATAGCCAAAGGAATTCTGAAAAGGAAGAACAAAGTTGGAGTACTAACACTACCTGATTTCAAAACTTCACATATTGAGGAACAGAGGTCTCCTCGGTGGCCAAGAGGCATATGACTGAGCCATCCTGGAAGCAGGTTCTCCCTCCCCAGTCAAGGCTTCAGATGATGCAGCCCTGGTGACATCTGACTACAATCTCATGAGAAACCCCTGGCCAGCACCCAGTACAGCTGTTCCCAAATTCCTGACTCTCACAGACTCTGTGAGATGATAAATGTTTATTGTTGTTTTAAGCCACAAAAAAAAAAAAAGAAAACTGCTTCAGCCCAAGGCATTTATCCTAAAGAAATAAAGGCTGAAGTTCAAACAAAGTCCTGTACATTAATGCTCATAGAAGCTTCATTTATAACACAATAGTCTCCCCTTATCAATGGGAGATATGTTCCAAGACCCCCAGTGGATGCCTGAAATGGCAGATAGTAAATGCACACATACATACACACAAACACACAATGTTTTTTCCTACATATATACACCTATAATAAAGTTTAGTTTATAAATGAGGCACAGTAAGAGATTAACAACAAAAAATTCTTTTTGGCATATCTTAATTGCATCACTACTCTTACACTTTAAGGCCATTATTAAGTAAAATAAGGGTTGCTTAACACAAGCACTGTGACACCATGACAGTCAATCTGATAACTGAGATGGCTACTAAGTGACTAATGAGTGGGTAGCATCTACAGTGCGGCTACACTGGACAAACGGATGATTCACATCCCTGGCAGGATATAGCAAGATGATACAAGATTGCTATTCAGAATGACATCTAATGCAAAACTTATGAATTGTTTATTTCTGGAATTTTCCATTTAATATTTTTGGACCATGGCTGACCACAGGTAACTGAGATTGCAGAAAGCGAAACTGAGGATAAGGGAGGACTACCGTAGTCAAAAACTGCTATCAGTCCAGATGACCTTCCTGAGTGCTTAAATAAACTGTGATCCATCCATACCATGGAATACTACTCAGCAATAAAAAGGAACACACTATTGCTACATGCAACAAGTTGGATGAGTCTTTGCGGAATTATTGCTAAGCAAAAAAGGTTAATCCCCAGGATGGATTAAAAAAAAAGACGCAACAATATGCTCTCTCAAAGGAAACAAATCTCAACTCTAAAGATAAACACAAGCTCAGAGGGAAGGGATGGAAGACAATACTCCAAACTAATGGCAAACAAAAGAAAGCAGGTGTTCAACAGACGCAGAGAAAACATTTGACAAGATCCAACAGCCATTTATGCTAAAAACTCTCAATCAAATGGGTATAGAAAGTACCTCAACATAATAAGGGCACATATGACAAACCCACAGCCAACACCATACTCAAAGGGGAAAAACTGAAAGCCATCCCTGTGAGAAGAGGAGCAAGACAAGGGTACCCACTCTCGCCACTCTTACTCAACATAGTATTGGAGGTTTTGGCAAGAGCAATAAGGCAAGAAAAAGAAATAAAAGTAGGCGCTGGCCCAGTGGTGCAGCGGTTAAGTGCGCACATTCCACTTCCCGGTGGCCCGGGGTTTGCTGCTTCAGATCCCAGGTGCGGACATGGCACCGCTTGGCACGCCATGCTGTGGTAGGCATCCCACATATAAAGTAAAGGAAGTTGGGCACGATGTTAGCTCAGGGCCAGGCTGCCTCAGCAAAAAGAGGAGGACTGGCAGTAGTTAGCTCAGGGCTAATCTTCCTCAAAAAAAAAAAAGAAAGAAAGAAAGAAAAGTAATCCAAATAGGTAATGAAGAAGTGAAACGCTCACTGTTTGCAGACAACATGATCTTATATATAGAAAATCCTAAAGAATCTATCAG